TCCTGCTGCTGGCAGTGATCATGGCCTTTGGTAAGTGTTCATCCTACCTCTCACCCTGGTGACTCAGAGGGTAAAGTATCTGCTTACAATGCCGGAGACCCGGGATCGATCCCTGGGTTGGGAAGATCCCCCGGAGGAAGGCATGGCAACCCACTCCAGTATTCTTGCCTGGAAAATCCCTTGGACAGAGGAGCCTGGTGGGCTTCAGTCCACGGGGTCACAAAGAGTCGGACACGACTGAGCGACTTCACTTTCACTGTCACTCACCAGAAGGGCAACAGCCCAGGGAAGGAGGCTCCTTCATTCCCAAGGCTCCCTTCCCCTTGTCTGTCCCCCTCTCCGTGGGAGGAAGACAAGGACCTTTGTGGGGAAGGGGAGCGGCAGAGAGAGGCAGAGGTGGACATGCGGTCCCAGGTCCCATCTCCAAGCAATTTCCTTCCAGCCCTTCTGCAGGTCCATGGAGCGTTGTGGAATTTCGCGACTATGATCAAGCACACAACGGGAAAGACAGCCCTGCTCAGTTACGGAGCCTACGGCTGCTACTGTGGACTGCGTGGCCGAGGGGCCCCCAAGGACGCAACAGACTGGTGAGCCCAGCCCCGGCCCTCCCTTCTCTGCCCACGTGTGGCCCAGCTCGGGGCGGGGAGCCAAAGGCTCACGCTGGTGTCCCCACGTCCAAGAACAGCAGCGAGCCGCAGCTGGAAAAGCAGGCATCCTGGTGGAAACTGTGCTCTGAACTAGTCCCTCGTCCCTGGCTCTCTGCTCGGGGTCAGGGTGGGGGAACCCACGGGGCACCGGGCTCCCCGGAGCGTGGGGAGGCCGTCCCCATAGCTCAGCCTTGTCACAGGTGCTGTTGGGCGCATGACTGCTGTTACAAACAGCTCAAGCATCATGGATGCGGCACCATGTTACTGAAATACAACGTGTCTATCCGCCGGGGCCAAATCACGTGCGGTAAGAGCAAGCCCTACCCACTGCGCCAGCCTGCTCTGCTCTTTCTCCTGTGGCCGCTGCGCTGGGCACCAGAGCCAGATACACGGGGCGGGTCTCTGCCCCAAGGGGCTCACGGTTGAGTGGGAAGTGAGCAAAAGGGAAAACACCACGGAGACTCTGGTACGCAGTAAGGAAGAGGCGGGGCTCTGAGCACAGCCTGAGCGCCAAGGCAGGCTCCTCAGAGTGGTGACCTCCAAGCTGCACCCTCAAGGCGGAGGGGAGCCAAGGGGAAGGAGGGCTGGGGCGTCCCACCAAGAGGACACGGCAGGGCCCAGGGGGCCAGAGGGAGCTGGAGCAGCTCTGTGCTGCGGAAGGGAAATGTGAGGGTGAGACGGAGCGGTGAGTGGGAATGCTGGAGAGAAGGAAAGGTGTCGCGTTCTGTTTACCTTTTGTCCTAAAGAATTAGCGCGCTCCTGGGGGAAGGAGTGACATGACCAGACTCGCATTTCAGAGGACTTGCTCTGGCTGAGGGTGGATGGAGACCGATGGAAGGGGCTGTGTGGTCATGATGCAGACAAGAGGCAGGAAGCCCCTTCCCTATAACAATGGTGGTCAGCTGGGGCAGCTTCTCAGTTGCTGAGGATCCAGTCCTTTCCCAGGCTTCTTCTCTGCCCCGTTGTCAATGTGATTCCAAGGCACACTCAGAGCTCCAAGAGTTGTGGCTTCACCCTACAAAGGAGGTTTTCCTTTACAAGCCTCTTTTCAGAGAGAGGAAATTCATCCTTCCCGGAAGCCCCCAGCAGACCTTCCCGTGTGGTTCATTGGTCAGGGCAAGGTCGCCTGCTTCCCCTACACGAATCCCTACAAAGGAAACAGGGATGACCATGACCTACCAAGAACCATTCCCCGACTCCAGGGGCCAGGGACTTTGCACCTGAACACATCTAAGAAAGAGACAGGGGCTAAGAGAAAGGCTTTTCACAGAACCCCAGTGCTCAGCGGCTGGTGTTCTCATGACACTGGGTGTGGGCTTCCTGAGGGCAGAATTCTGTCTCCTCATCAGCCAGTAATATCTGAATGTCAATGCTTGTCCCAGACTAGAAACCCTGGGAGAACAGGGGCTGTGTCTTGTCCCTCGGAATTCCCAGAAGGAACCATAGAATATTAACAAATCCCCACCCTGTTTTTATGTTCTTGTGGTTTCAGAGGATCGAGGTGTGTGTAGACGCATACTCTGTGAATGTGATAAAAAGGCCGCCAGCTGTTTTGCAAAAAACCAGAACACCTACAATAAAAAGCTCCAATATTACAGCAACTTTCGGTGCACGGGGCGTGCCCCCCAGTGCTGAGAGGTCCCCGACCCCGGACACCTTACCACCCAGGGCTGAGTCTCCACTCTAGCACCCTATTCCCTGCCCTAGCCATGTTCCCTCGCAAATGAAGGAAACCCCCTCTTCCATCCTAGAGACCAGCCAGGAGCCCTTCTCTCTCCCTGTCTATCTAGAAAGACAAGCACAGATCTGGGTGTGTATGCCAAGCTCCTTGCCCCTGCTTCCTTGGACAGCCAGAGGTTTTGTTCCTCCCATTTCCACTCTTCTTCAAGTCCAAAGTCATGTTTAGCTGTGGCAGCTACACTCCGGGTGGGCGCTTCTGAATAAAACAATTTATTTGGCAAACTGTATGTGAGTGTGTTTCTCTGTGTGTGTGTGTGTGTGTGTGTGTGTGTGTCTGTGTGTGTGTGTGTAACTCACAGGTACTTCTAGTGTGAGAACAAACTAGTACAAGGGAACAGCATGTAAGGGGTTAAAAATACAGGCTTCCCTGGTAGCTCAGTCGGTAAGAAATCTGCCTGCCGTGCAGAAGACCCGAGTTCGATGCCTGGTTGAGGAAGGTCCCCTGGAGAAGGAAATGGCAAACCACTCCTGTATCCTTGCCTGGAAAATCCCATGGACAGAGGAGTCTGGCAGGCTCCATGGGGTACACGGGGTCCCAAACATTGGGCAGGACTGAGGGACTGCCACTTCCCTCAGTGGCAGACTGGCTGCGTCGAATCCCCACCACCACTTCCCTAAGCCTCAGCGCCCTCATCTCAATGGAGATCGCTTTGTCCCAAGTGCCCGGGCTTACTGGGGAAGTTAAATGGATAATGGACATAAACCACCAGCTCTGACATGTCTGCCTCAGTCCTTATGGTTACAAGAAAAACCCAGCCTTTCACCTCTCCTACCCTGAGCAAGAGAAACTCCTGCGGGCCTGTTCGGGAAAAACAGAAGTGTGGTTCCTGATGCTTGGGGGGATCTATAATCCAGGTCTTCTGTGAGACGCAGTCTTCTATGTTGTCAGCCCAGAGGAGGGTCAGTGTAATGCTGGCCACCGATGGGACTCTCAGGGCATTTCTCCCCTCACCTAGGGCTGGCTTCCTGGGCTTGTGACCTAGGCAGAGTCCCAGCAGGCACTGCACCTAGCTTACTGCTCTGTCCCAGCCATCGCAAAATTGTTAATGACGTGGAATCTTGCATTTTGTTCTGCACGGGGGCCCACAAAGTAGCCAGTCCATCCCTTACCTGAATGCTACATCCCCTCTTGTCATCCAAGGCTCCTCTGAGATAGTCCCAGCCGGACCAGAATTCTTCAGTAGTCTCCACCAGAGCTGCTGGCTGTGTACAGTGGGGACGGGCTCTAGGAAACAGAGTCTGTGGTTTTCACGGGCTGAGTCCTTTTACCAAGAAGGAAGAGGACCATGGCCTTCTCCCTACGGGGCCCTGCTGACCTTCCAGGATGCGAGACCTCTCACTTCTGGCCCCTTAATTGTATTTCACTGAGGTTTCTATTTATTCGTTTCTTACATAACTTTCTTATAAATGTATTTCCACATTAGAAGTTTTTTTTTTTTTAAGATAAGAGTATTAAATATTTCCTGACAAGGGAAGATTAGGAAAGAGTACAGAAAAAGTTCAGCCATGATTCTGATTTTGGAAACAATCATTTATATGAAGCTAGCACTTCTAATTATTAATAAATGAAAACATTTCTGAGCATTGACTATCCTGTTTGAGCACGTCCATCCCATGGAAAGTAACAGGACCTCCCCCGGGGATGCTCCCACTGCCCCTCATCCATCTCTGTTGCCTCTTCCCTCTTGCTTCATCACCGCCTAACACTCCACAGTTGACTTTTGAACAACAAAGATTTGAATTGCTCAGTCCCATTTATACATGGATTTTTTTCAATAAATAGACATATACACTACAGTACTACAAAAAGATGGCTTAAAACTCAACATTCAAAAAACTAAGACCATGGCGTCCAGTTCCATCACTTCATGGCAAATAGATGGGGAAACAGTGACAGACTTTATTTTCTGGGCTCCAAAATCACTGCAGATAGTGACTGCAGTGATGAAATGAAAAGCTATAACAAACCTAGACAGCATATTAAAAAGCAGAGACAATACTTCCCTGACAAAGGTCCGTCTAGTCAAAGCTATGGTTTTTCCAGTAGTCATGTATGGATGTGAAAGTTGGGACATAAAGAAGGCTGAGTGCCAAAGAACTGATGCTCTTGAACTGAGGTGTTGGAGAAGACTCTTGAGAGTCCCTTGGACTGCAAGGAGATCCAACCAGTCCATCCTAAAGGAGATCAGTCCTGAATATTCATTGGAAGGACTGATGCTGAAGCGGAAGCTCCAATACTTTGGCCACCTGATGCAAAGAGCTGATTCATTAGAAAAGATCCTAACGTTGGGAAAGACTGAAAGCAGGATGAGAAGGCAATAACAGAGGACGAGATGGTTGGATGGTATCACCAACTCAATGGACATGAGTTTGAGAAAACTCCAGGAGATGGTGAAGGACAGGGAAGCCTGGCGTGCTACAGTCCTGGGGTCTCAAAGAGTCAGACATGGCGGAGGGACTGACAACAAAAGTACCACTTCATCTGAGGCTGGCTGAGCCATGCACACGGGGCGTCACAGGCACTGAGGCCCGCTGTGAAGTCACAGGCAGGTAGGTATCTGACTGTGCAGAGGGTCAGTGCTCCTAACCCCCACGCCGCTCAAAGATCACCTGTGTATCCTTTACCTGTGGTATCTTTTGTTTTATAACCTGTCTCTCTCCACTAAAATGTAGGCCCCATGAGAGTACTTTTGTTTTTTTATTAATTTACTCCAAGTGCTTAAATTAGTTCTTGGATGAAGGTGGCTGTCAAGAAGCCAGACCACTGATTTTGAATTGTTGGGAAAAATCTGGGAAGATGGGAAAAGGCAAGGCAGTGTGTGACATCACCAGAGTCCTTGAGTGCTGGAGCCTGGACATGATACCGGGGCCACCAGGATAGACGGGGTGGGGCACGTTGCCTACTATAGAAACAACAGTATTCCAAAGCTGAGGTGCTCAACAGAAGGCCAAAGTCTAGCGCATCAGCGCTGTACCTGCATCTCAGTCTAAGGCAAACAGATGTGAGAGCAGAAATCTGTTGATGGAAAAAAATGCAGAAGCTAAACATTGAGAATTACGCTTTATTGGGGGCTTTACGGAGGACTTCAGCCCGGATACATACTGTTGGGTAGGTCTGAGGACTGTCCTCAGGGGTAAGGGAGGAGCCGGGATATGTAAGGAGTTTTTGCAAAAATAGGCAAACAAACAAAAAAGCCCAGGTAGTTAAATACCAAAAGATACCTGCCAGCTAAAGGAAAACCAGATATCTCAACTTAATGAATTTGATGCTTTTCTATGTATTAAAAGATGCAAGAGTCTGGAGTTGATGCAGTCATTCCTGTGATATGCACCTTACCCACCTGGGGCTGGTACCCTGTTTTCCTCTGTTCTGAGTCCCCTCGGGGGGCACTGTCAAGGATGGCCATTGGCTTGATGGCCACAACATCTTTGTTTACTGAGATGGCAGGGGGCATTCTTTGTCCACAAATCCCATATTGCCAAGACCAATGGGGATCTTTGGAGACTGTGTTATTTGCTAGGAATTTGTACCAGGTACCATGACCTGAGTAGCTTAAACAACAGAAATTTCTTGTCTCTCAGTTCGGGAGCCCAGAAGTCTAAGATCAGGGTGCCAGTGAAGTTGGTTCCTTCTGAGGTCTGTGGGGGAGGGTCTGTTCCCTCATCTCCCCAGGCTCTGGTGGTGATCTGGCCATCTTTAGGGTTCCTTGGTGTATAGAAGCATCCCCACCTCAATCTCTGCCTTCACCTTCACATGGAATTCTCCCAGTGAAGACGTATGTGTGTCTCTCTGTCCAAACTTCCCCTTTTTCTGAAGACACCAGTCATCCTGCATTAGGTCCACCCTAATAACCTTGTCCTAACTCATCAACGCCACAAAGACCCTCTTTCCAAAAAGAGTCACATCCTGAGGTCTTACTGGAGGTCAGGATTCAACGTAGGAATTTGATGGCAACACGAGTCAGCCCTTAGTGCAGGTCTAGCTCTTCAAGGAAACTATATTCAAGATGAAAGCGGCCTGGGATGGCTGTTAATAGATAGGTTACTGTAGTGTAAAGCCTGGCAAGTGTGTTGGTTTTTTGTAAGATATTTTCCTGATAACCTTCGATTGGTGCCTGATAACCTCTGGTTGCCAGGCATCCATGTCAAAGATAGCTATCTAGAATCAACATCTTGCCAACCACACCTTTATTTTATAGATTTTGGTTAATTTGACTATTTGGGCCACCTGTTTTGTTTTGTTTTGTTTTGTTTTCTCTCTTCCTGCGCTTTACTTTACTGTTCACGTATTTTAAATCCACCAATTAAGAGTGAGCCAACAAAAGCCTAGGCCCCCACCCTCAACCCGAATAAAAGCAGAATCCCAGACCCAAGATCGCAGGCTCTCTCTACCCTTGAACTTGCTGTGGGGCTCCAGCTGTGCGGTGTAACTTCCAGGTCCTATAAGTAATAAACCTTTATTCAAGGATTTCTGATAATTATCATGAAAGGGTATCATGCAATCGTAACAACCATGAGGTCTAGTCCAGCCACAGCACTGGTTATTGATAGTCTGAGACCACTGTGCTTACTGCTCACTGATTTCAATGATTAGTAGTTTAAGAAACCAAAGTGTATTTCTCACTCATGCAAAGACCACCAAATGGCTGAGGATTCTCCCAGACAAGGGCCCTCTGTGTGATTAATCAGGGACCCAAGCTGCCTCCATCTTCCGATTCCACCATTCAGGGCACGGAAACTGGGGCCCAGGACGCGGTCTTTACCTCACTTCAGCCTGGCAGTGACCCTCAGCACTGACGCACACGTTTTGCTGGCAAGATTCAATCTCCTGAGCCTAACCCGGAGGGGGGCCTGGAGAATGTGGGGAGCAGGCAGAACAGGGATGGGCACCGTAGCCTCTGGTCTCTGGCTTTTGGAGGGTGGGTGTTGGGGACTATTAACTGAAGGCCACACAAGCTAAACTATTACCAGTGGTGAAGGGCTTGAAAAAGGCATCTATTTTGGAAACAGAGTCACTGCCTGTCTGAGGCTGAAGAAGAAAGAGCAACAGATCCCAGGAGCGTCGGTCAGCTCCATCTCCAAACAGGTGAGGACTGGGGATGAGCGGGCGACAGTACATGCCTGGGGTGAGAGTGCCAGGACCCCTGGACAGTCTCTTGCTTTTTCTAGAAGGGGAGGAGGAGGAAGAGAGGAAACAGGAGCCGGAAGAGAAGGTGGAGATGCTGTTCCAAGTCAGGCGAGTAGGTGTCATCTGCCCCACGGCAGCCCTTTCCCTTCTGGGGTCCCTGGGGGCGGGACAACTTCTCATCACCTCCTGAGAGGTTCATGGGGGTCCTGGCATTTTTGTGGAGGCTTAGTATGTGCTTCTTGAATGATTGGTTTATGGAATGAATGAATAACCCCAACTGCCCTGATTCTTATTCCAAGTGGTGTCTTTAGCAGCAGAAAGGAGAAATCCTTGGTCAGCAGCTGATGGCCCTTGCCCTCTCCTGGAAGTGGGTTCAGGAGAGTCACACCCAGACCTGGTTATGGGAATTTATTCACTCAGAGAGAGACCCACAGGAAAGATGACAAAATCACCTACAATTCGGCATCAGCTAATGGAACATAGGATGGAAAAACCTCAGTTCTGTACTGCTGATGAGAAGGGAAAAAAAGAGGATTGCCTAGGGGGAGTGGCATTCCAAACCACAAGTCCACCAACTAAGGGGGTATCCCCACCCCACTCCCACCCCACCAGTCCCCAAGCTCCCAGAGGGATCAGCTATTTAACTGGAGTTCAGAATAAACAAGGTGGTTGCTTGTAGACACCAACTCAGGATCCTCTGAAAAGGAAATAGCCAGAAATGAATATCCAGTCTCTGATCACTGGCTGCCTTCAATGGTGCCTATAGTGTGTGTGTGTGTGTGTGTGTGTGTGTACGTGTGTGTGTGTACACATGTGTGTGTGAGTAGTTGTGTATTTGTGCATGTGAAAGTGAAAGTGAGTTGCTTGGTTGTGTTCGACTCTTGGTGACCCCACGGACTATACAGTCCATGGAGTTCTCCAGGCAAGAATACTGGCGTGGGTAGCCTTTCCCTTCTCCAGGGGCTCTTCCCAACCCAGGGATCGAACCCAGGTCTCCCGCACTGCAGGCCGATTCTTTACCAGCTGAGGCACAAGGGAAGTATGTACACATGTAAGGGTTGAAAGAGAGGGTGCTGCTTTAGTTCTGGGGAAAAACACTGTGGATCATCGCAGAAAAACACTGATCTCCATGGGCGGAATTTGCAAGCTTTGACTCCAGTGTGTGGTGGGGAGTAAGATACACCTACTGGGAAACACATGCACAGCCTACGACCTCTGGGATCTCCCAGTTTGGAGGGATGACCTGGTCACAACCTTCCGGGAACTCTCAGGTGGGTGAGGAGCATGGAGGTCTCAGCAGTGTTCGATGGGGGGATGGGGTTCTTGACCAGTGAAACTCAACAAAGCTGGGAAGCGCCCCCTCCACATTTACTGTGTGCCTGATGAAGGCAGTCACGCTGGACCTGCCTGGAGCTGAGGAGCGTGTCTGCGAGTTCTCTTAAAGATGTCTTCATCAGGATCTTTGAATGTGAGCAGGACAGCAGGGGCCGGGGCAGATGCTGGCAGAACCTGGGAGGGTCTGTATGTAACTCTCCCAGCATGAAGACCCTCCTGCTGCTGGCGCTGATCTTGGCTGTTGGTAAGAGTTGACAGTGACCTCTCACCAGCAGGGGAACAGCCCATGGAGGGAGTCACCTCCAACCTCAGCTTCCGTTCCCACTGCATCTGGCCATCTCTCAGTGGGAGGAAGAGAGGTTGTCTTGTGGGGAGGGGGAGAGACAGGGAGGACACAGCGTCCCAGGCCCCATCACCAGGCAGTGCCCTTCCAGCCCTGCTGCACGTCTGTGGAAACTTGACAGATTTCAGAAAAAGATCAAGTACATGACAGGAGGAGAACCTGTGACCACTGCTGGCTTCTAGAGCTGCTCCTATGGGTGGTGGCAGAGGATCCCCCAAGGATGCAATGGATCGGTGAGGCCACCCCCTGCCCTCCCGTCTCTGCCCACTTGTGGCCCCAGCTGGGGTGGGAGTCGAAGTCTCGTGTTGGTATTCCATGATCAAAGAACCCCAGGAAGTCCCCGCTCAAAAAGCAGCCAGCCTGCTAGAAACTCTGCTCTAGACTATTCGAATGTGCCTGGGTCTCTGCCCAGGGTCAGTGGGGTGTGACCTGGGGCCCTGGGCTCCCTGGAGACTGGGGAGGGCGGGGGGACCCCAGGAGCACAAGCTGGTTGCAGGTGCTGCGCAGCGCATAATTGTTGCTGCAAAAAGCTGAAGAATCGTAGGTGTGGTACCGTGTGCCTGAAATAGAACTTTACTCTCCGCTGGGGCCGAATCGTTTGTGGTAAGAAAGAGTTCTACGCCTCCGCCCAGCCTCCAGTGTCCATTTCCCTGAGTGTCCTCTGTGCTGGGCACCAGAGCTAGATGTTCATTCAAAGGGACAGTGTCCCTGCCTCAAGGAGCTCACGGAGGGCTGGGGAGTAACAAAAATGAAAATACAGCATGGCAGATTCTGATAGGAAGTGAGGCAAAGGACTCTGAACGCCAAGAATGGTGACCTCCAAGCTGAGTCTTCCAGGCTGTGAGGGGCCAGGGGAAGGAGGGTTGGGGACATGCTTACAAGAGGACACGGCGGGGTCCAAGGGGCCAGAAGGAACTATAGTAGTTCTGCGCTGATGAAATGAAGTGTGAGGATGAGATGGAGTGGTGAGTGATGCTGCTAGAGAGAAAGAAAGGGGCTAGGTCAAGTCTCCAAGACTATATTGTATTTAGATTTTGTCTGAAAGAATTAGGGAGTTCTCAAGAAAAGAAGTGGCATATTCAGGTTTACCTTGCAGAGGACTGACTCTGGGTGAGTGTGGATGGAGACAGATGAAAGGGGGGCCATCGTCAAGATGCAGACAAGACACAGAAAGCTATTGACCTTTAGCAATGGTGGGTCAGGATGCAAGGGGTGGAGAGTGCCACGAACAGGCCCTGAAACAGGGTCACCTGAGCTTGGTAGTTGACTGGGAGCTGTTGGATGGCTATAGCGCCGTGTGGATGGTACCAGGCCCTCTCAGGGCCTGGTAGGAGAGGACAGGAACATGTTGAGTTTGCAAGCCTCCCATACCCAGGGATATGAGTGGTAGGCGGCTGGATAAAGGAACACACAGATGAAGGGAAGGTCTGGACACAGATTCAGGTGGCCACAGAGAGCCAAGAGTTGGATGGACCCACCGATTTGATGTGTAAAGGCCCAGAAAGGAGAAAAGCAAAGAGCTCAAGGAGTTGGGCCAGGAGGAGATGATTAACAGCAGCCGGGGCTAACAGAGGGGTCGTCCAGGATAAGGGCTGACCGGGCTCCTTGGATTTAGAGGCAAGAAGACCACTGAGGACTCAGTGAGAGCTGTTCCCGTGGATCTGTGAAGGCAAGGCCAGGTTAGAGCAGGTTGGAAGGTGGGTGGGAGGAAGAGAGGCTGCAAAGTGTAGACAACCTTCTGGAGCGAGTTTGGCCGTAAAGGGGAGGAGAGGTGGGTAGTGGCTGGAAGGGATTGCCTAATGCCCCAGACAGCTGACTCGAGAGTGGGATTTTGAGAAACCAGGGACTTTTCCTTAACAGCTTGAGGTCTCTGAGATCAGAAATTATGTCTTCCCATCATGACCTTTCCATAAGGTGATGTGTCTAGTAGGCTCCGGGTCAGTTCAGTTCAATCATTCAGTCAAGTCTGACTCCATGGACTGCAGCTCACCAGGCCTCCCTGTCCATCACCAACTCCCCCAGTTTACTCAAACATGTCCATTGAGTCAGTGATGCCATCCAACCATCTCATCCTCTGTCATCCCATTCTCCTCCCACCTTCAATCTTTCCAAGTATCAGGGTCTTTTCAAAGGAGTCAGTTCTTCACATCAGGTAGCCAAAGTATTGGAGTTTCAGATTCAGCATCCAATGAATATTGGATTCGGCATCCTTCCAATGAATATTCAGGACTGATCTCCTTTAGGATGGACTGGTTGGATCTCCTTGCAGTCCAAGGGACTCTCAAGAGTCTACTCCAACACCACAGATCAAAAACATCAATACTTTGGTGCTCAGCTTTCTGTATAGTCCAACTCTCACATCCATAAATGACCACTGGAAAAATCATAGCTTTGACTAGATGGACCTTTGTTGGCAAAGTAATGTCTCTGCTTTTTAATATGCTGTCTAAGTTAGTGATAACATTTCTTCCAAGGATCGAGCGTCCTTTCATTTCATGGCTGCAGTCACCAAGTGCAGTGATTTTAGAGCCCCCAAAAATAAAGTCTGTCACTGTTTCCACTGTTTCCCTATCTATTTGCTATGAAGTAATGGGACCAGATGCCATGACCTTCGTTTTCTGAATGTTGAGTTTTAACCCAACTTTTTCACTCTCCTCTTTCACTTTCATGAAGAGGTTCTTTAGTTCTTCTTCACTGTCTGCCATAGGGTGGTGTCATCTGCATATCTGAGGTTATTGATATTTCTCCAGGCAATCTTGATTCCAGTTTGTGCTTCTTCCAGCCCAGCGTTTCTCATGATGTACTCTGCATATAAGTTAATTGAGCAGGGTGACAATATACAGCCTTGACGTACTCCTTTTCCTATTTGGAACCAGTCTGTTGTTCCATGTGCAATTCTAACTGTTGCTTCCTGACCTGCATACAGATTTCTCAGGAGGCAGGTCAGGTGGTCTGGTATTCCCACCTCTTGAAGAATCTTCCAGTTTGTTGTGATCCACACAGTCAAAGGTTTTGGCATAGTCAATAAAGCAGAAATAGATGTTTTTCTGGAACTCTCTTGCTGTTGCGATGATCCAGCAGATGTTGGCAATTTGATCTCTGGTTCCTCTGCCTTTTCTAAAACCAGCTTGAACATCTGGAATTTCATGGTTCACATACTGTTAAAGCCTGACTTGGAGAATTTCGAGGATTACTTTACTAGCATGTGAGATGAATGCAGTTGTGCAGCAGTTTGAGCATTCTTTAGCATTTCCTTTCTTAGGAATTGGAAAGAAAACTGACCATTTCCAATCCTGTGGCCACTACTGAGCCAAATTTGCTGGCATCTTGAGTGCAGCACTTTCACAGCATCATCTTTTAGGATTTGAAATAGCTCAACTGGAATTCCATCACCTCCTCTAGCTTTGTTCATAGTGATGCTTCCTAAGGCCCACTTGACTTTGCATTCTGGCTCTAGGTGGGTGATTATACGTTCATGATTATCTGGGTCATGAGGATCTTTTCTGTATAGTTCTTCTGTGTATTCTTGCCACCTCTTCTTAATATCTTCTGCTTCAGAAGGCTCTGGGTGACAAGCAACAAGATGCCCACCTAACAGAGGCTCAGACAGTGAGGAAGTCTGACTCTCTTGTAACAGAATCTGGGAGAAGGCAGTGCCAGGGCGGAGCAGCTCCTCAACTGCGTTGCCAAGGATCCAGTCCTTTCCCAACCTTCTGCTCTGCCACGTTGGCAGTGTGATTTCAAGACACACTTAGAGCTCCAAGAGTTGTGGCTTGACCTTATGGAAGAGGCTTTCCCTTCGCACATGGCTCTTTTTGGAGAGGAAATTCATCCTTCCCGGAAGCCCCAACAGACTTTCCCATGTGGCTCACTGGTCAAGGCAAGGTCACGTGCTTCCCCTACACTACTCACTACAAAGGAAACAGGGATGACCACGATTGGCTTACACCCATCAAGAACCATTCCCTGACTCCGGGGAACAGGGGCTTTGCACCTGAACACATCTGCCAGGGCAGAGAAAAAGACAAGGCTAACAGCAAAGCTTTTCACAGAATCCCAGTTCATGGCTCGTGTCCCCATCAGATTGGGTATGGGCTTCTGAGGGTAGGAATTCTGTCTCCCCATCAATCAGAATTATCTGGACATTGGTGCTTGTCCCAGACTAGAAATTCTTGGAGAACACAGGCTGTGTCTATTCCCTCAGATTTCCCATGAGAAACCCAAGAATATTAACCAACTATCCAGTGTTTGTTCTTCCTGGATGGTGCTAGTGGTAAAGAACCCACTTGCCCATGCAGGAGAAATAAGAGACTTGGGTTCCATCCCTGGGTGGGGAGATCCCCTGGAGAAGGGAATGGCTACCCACTCCAGTACTCTTGCCTGGAGAATTCCATGGACAGAGGAGCCTGGTGGGCTATAGTCCATACAGTCAAAGAGACAAAACTGAACTTGGCACACACATGCATCCCATGTATATTTTCTCATGATTTCAGAGAATCAGGACTACTGCAAACATCAAGTGTGTGAGTGTGATCAAATAGCTATCATTTGTTCTGCCAGAAACAAGAAGGCCCATAATAAAAGCTCCAACACTTCAGCAACCGTCGGTGCAGAGGGGAGACGCCCAAGCGCTTGAGAAGCCCCTGAGCCTGGACACCTTGCCTCCTAAAGCCGAGTTTCCACTTGGCACCCCACTCCCTAGCCCAGCCACGTTCCCTGGCAAATGAAGGAAACCCCCTCTCCCATCCCACACACGAGCCACGAGCTCTTCTCTCCCCAAACAGAAGCCTCCGTCCAGAAGGAGAAGCTCAAGTCTGGGCGTGGATGCCCAGCCCCTTCCCCCTGCTTCCTCGGGAGGCAGGCAATCTTTCCGCCCTTCCACTCCTCTTCAAGTCCAACCTCGGGTTTTGCTGTGGCAGCTACACTCCTGGTTGACTCTTCAGAACAAAGCGATTCATTTGGCGAGTTGTGCACACGTGTGAGTGTGTCTGTGTGTGTGTGCTCCCTGGGTCTTCTCGTGCAAGAGCAAATTAGTACAAGAAAATCCAGTGTAAAGGGTTAAAAATAGCAGCTTTAGAGTCCGAACGGCTGAGTCAGATCCCACCACCACTCCCATGAGCCCAGTGCCCTTGTCTAAGGAGACCAAGCGCACACGCTGTTAAAGATGGAAAAGGGATCCTGGGTGTGAAGCACTGGGCCTGGCCTGTCTGCATCTGTGCTTCTCACTGCGAGTAAAACCCAGCCTTCCACCCTCCTTCCCTGGGCAAGAGCAGCTCCTGCTGGCCAGCTGGGGGCAAACAGCAGGACTGCTCTGGATCTGGGGGAGGCATAGTCCCGTCTCTGCAAGGCATGTCCCCCCACGTTGCCAGCCTGCTGAAGGTGGGTCAGTGTATTGGGAATTCAGACCGCCACGGGGACTCTCAGGGCATTTCTCCCCTCCCCCCGGGCTGGCTTCCTGGGCTTGTGACCCAGGCAGAGTCCCAGTGGGCACTGTGCCTACTTTACTGCCCTGTCCCAGCCATCTCAGTGTTGTTAATGACGTGGAATCCTGCATTTCATCCTGCACGGGGACCCACAGATTACGTAGCTGGTCCTACCCTCAATGGGATGTTAATTCCCCTCTTGTTATTCTGGGTTCCCCTGAGATATTCCCACCTGGACCAGCATTCTTTAATAATTGGCATCCGAGCCGCTGGCTTTGTACAGTGGGGAAGGGCTCTAGCAAACAGAGTCCGTGTCTTTTCGTTGGCCGAGTCTTTTCTGAGAAGCGAGTCTTTCCTTCTTTCCACTGAGCTCTTCTGTCCTTATGGGCGTGAACGCTCCCTCTTCTGGTCCCCTGACTGTATTTCAATGAGGCTTCTGTTCATTTGTTTCTGGCATAACTTTCTCATAAATGTATTCCCAAATAAGAAGGTTTGTTGATTTTGTTTTTGTTTTTTAAAGAAGAGTAATGAATATGTTTTATCGCTCCTGTGATATGCACCTTACTACCTAGGGCCAGTATCCTATTCCCATCCTGAATCCCCTCAGCATGCACTGTCAGTAGTGGCTGATGGCTTGATGGGCATACATCCTATTTTACTGAGGTGGCAGGGGGCATTCTTTGTCCAACATCCCAGATTTCACAGACCTGCAGAGATCCCCAGAGGTTTTATTATTTGCTAGGGTAGTGTACCAGGTACCACAAACTGGCACCAGTGGTAAAGAATCCGCCTGCCAGTGCAGGAGACATAAGAGACGTGGGTTCAACTCCTGGCTCAGGAAGACCCCCTGGAGGAGGGAATGGCAACCCACTCCAGTATTCTTGCCTGGGAATCCCAAGGACAGAGGAGCCTGGTGAGGTCCCATGGGGTCCCACAGAGCTGGACACGACTGAAGTGACTTAGCACACACACACTGCCAACTGAGTAGCTTTAACAATAGAAATATCTGGTCTCTCAGTTCTGGAGCCAGAAGTCTAAGAGCAAGGTACCCATGAGGTTGGTTCCTTCTGAGGTCTGTGGGGGAGGGTCTGTTCCTTCCTCTCCCCAGGCTCTGGTGGTGACTTGGCCATCTTCAGGATTGCTTGGGTATAGAAGCATCCCCACCTCGACCTCTGCCTTCGCCTTCACGTGGGATCCTCCCAGTAAAGATGTGTGTCTGTCTGTGTCCAAACTTCCCCTTCTTCTAAGTCATCTGCATTAGGCCCACCCTAATGGTGTTAGTCACTCGGTCATGTCCGACTCTTTGTGATCCCATGGACTGTAGCCCGCCAGGCTCCCCTTTCCATGGGATTCTCCAGGCAAGGATACTGGAGTGGGTTGCCATGCCCTAAGCTTATCCTAACTCATCACCTCCACAAAGACCCTCTTTCCAAATAGAGTCACTTCCTGAGGTCTTACTGGAGGTCAGGACTCCAATGCAGGAATTTTGTGGGAACACAAGTCAACCCTTAATACAGGTCTAGCTCTTCAAGGAAACTGTATCTTCAAGATGAATGCTTCCTGGGACGGCCGTGAGTCTGTATCGCTAGGTTACTGTAGTGTAAAGCCTTGAACCTGAGCAGGACCCTCTGGTCTTCGTCCCACTGCATCCTCTGCGTGCCTTTTTTCTGTGGGAAACTCTTAGCCAGAGAATAAGTTTAATCAGAAAAGTGACCACATGAGGAAACAAAGGAAAACTGTCAAAGGAGAGCAAATAAGAGTAATGTAGTCAGTAAGCATAGCCAAGGACTTTCAGTTCCTCCTCAAGGCTGTAGATGATATTCTGAGCCACATCCTGTGAGCTCATGTACAGATGCTGAGCCCCCCACCAGGTGGAACAGGTTACCTACATGACGACCAGGCTCTAGCTGTCATATCAGCCGCCACAATTCTAAGAATTGTCCTCACGGAAATGGAAACCAACCAAGCCTGGAGCTAAAGATTCCTTGTACCTAAGAGAATCGAGATGATCCTGGTTAGACCACTGATGGCCAATTTCAAGATGACCGTCGGAGCTGACTGTACCGTTTCTGTGCATAGCCCCTTCCCTCTGCCTATGGGATTGACTGGTGGCTTGGTCAGTAAAGAAACATGCCTGTGATGCGGCAGACCCAGGTTCAATCTCTGGGTCAGGAAGATCCTCTGGGGAAAGGAGAGGCAACCCACTTCAGTATTCTTGCCTGGGGAATCCTTTTGGACAGAGGAGCCGGGCAGGTTCAGTCGCTGGGGTCACAAGAGTCAGACATGACTTAGTGACTAAACCACCGCCACTGGGTTCCTCTGTCTATGGAAGCTCCTGCCACCAGATTGTCTAGCGGGGAGAGCAGGCATTTGGACAGACATCCACCCTCTGCACCACCCACCACCGGATTGTCAGCGTCCAAAATAAAGCAAGCTTTCCTTTCTACCAGCTGGCCTCTTTGTTGGCCTCTAAGTGGTGAGCAGCCGGGACCTGGGTTCTGTAACATCCTAACAGTTGTTTGGGGGGGGTTGTTTGGGTTTTTGTAAAGTAAATTCCTGATAAGCTTCAATTAGTGCCTGACAAGCTCTGATAAGTGCCTGATATCCTCTGATTGCCAGGCATCCACTTCAGTGATGGCTATCTAGAATAAACACCTTGCCAGCCGCATGCCTGTTGCGACCTTGCCAGGGCCATATGCCTCCCCTCACTAAGGCTCCTTTGTATTGAAGATTTTGGTTAATTTGATTCTTTTGGGCCACCTGTTGTTCCTGTTTCCATGCTTTACACTGATGCTCACATGGTTTAGATTCACCAATAAAGGGTGACCACACAAAACCCTAGGCCCCGCCTTCAACCCCAATAAAAGCAGAACCCCAGACCAGTGGTCTTCAGCTTTCTGTGTGCCCCTGACCTGCTCCGGGGTCCCAGGTGCGACGTGTCACTTCCAGGTCCTGTAAGTAATAGACCTTTATTCTTTCAAAATTTTCTGCTGATTACTGCTGAAGGGCATCTTGCAGGAGTAAAAACCCTACTGTCTGGTCCAGCCACCACACTGGTTACTGAGGGGTTAAGATCGCCATGCAACAGCTTTGCTAGTCACTGATCTCGGTAATCAGTGGTTTAACACAATCAACTTGTATTTCTCGCCCAGGCAAAGACCACTGAGGGTCTGCAGAGCTTTCTCCACCAGGTGTCCTACAAGGTGTCCAACAAGCTGTCCTCCAAGGACTGAGGGGTCCAAGCTGCCTCCATCTTCCGGTTCCATCCGGAGGGGTGGGGAAAGACGGAGGCTTCGCATATGGTTTTCACCTCATTGCAGCCTGGCAGTGGGCACCAGCATTGATGCCCACGTGTGTTCTGGCCAGATTCAGCCTCCTGGGTCTAACCTGGAGGGGGACCCGGAGAATGTGGGGGGAGCAGGCAGAATGGGGATGGGCCCCATAGCTTTGGCACACTGGCTTTGGGGGGATGTGTGTAGGGGAGTGTGAACTGAAGGTCATGGGAGCTAAATTCTTAGCAGTATTAGAGGGCAGGAAAAGGGCATCAGTTTTCGAAATGAAAGCTAGTCTCTCTGAGGCTGAGGAAGAGAGAGCAGCCAGCCCGTCTCCAAACAGGCGAGCACGGGGAATGAGGAGGCAGCAAACACCAGGACAGTCTCTGGCTTTTCCCAGATGGGGGCGGGGAGGAGAGGAGAAGAAAGAGGAGCAAGAAGAGAAGGTGGAAACGCTGTCCTAAGTCAGGGGCAGCGGCCACCTGCCCCACTGCAGTCCTTACCCCGCTGGATGAGTTCTCACCACCTCCTGAGAGGCTTCCATGATTCTTGGGACTTCGCTGGGGCTCAGAATGTACTTCCTGTGAATGGCAGGTTTATGGGATGAATGAATATCAGTAAATGCCATTTCTTATTCCCAAATAGCATATTAAAAAAAAAAAAAAAACAACCTTGTTCAGCAGCAGATGGCCATTGCCCTCTCCTGGAAGGGGGTTCAGGAAGGTCACACCCAGACTCTATTGTGGGAATTTATTCACTCAGAAGTGAGACCCGTTGGAAAGATACCAAAATATCCTAAAATTTTGGCATCAGCTAATGGCACATAAGTTTTTTTCTATCCTCAGCTCTGTCCTGCCAGCTGATAAGAAGAACAAGGATTGCCTAGGCACTGAGGCCTGCCAAACTCTTAGTCCAGTAACTGGCGAGATCCCCACCCCATCCCCTATCCCAAACCGCAAGCTCCCAGAGGGCTCAGCTGCTTAACTAGAGTTCAGAATAGACAAGGCAGCCACTTTGAGAAGTCAGCTTGAGATCCTCTGAGAAGTAGATAGCCAGAAACGAATACTCAGTCCCTGAAGATTGCCCGCCTTGACGAGATGCTGTGTCCTGTGTGTGTGTGCGTGAGTGTGCATGCACATGCAGGCACCTAGGAGCACAAGCCTGTACATGCCTGATTTGGTACAACAAGAAGGGATCTGTGCACAGATGTGTTGTGTGGGAACGCGAATGTATTGTGTAAAATGATGTCTGCACTAGAAGATGAGCATAGAGTGTGTGTGCATACACAAGCGTATGTGCACGAGTAGGTGTGTGTTCTGTGTACAAGTGTTTAAGTGTGAACGAGATGGTGCTGCTTTAGTTCTGGAGAAAAACACTGTGGATCCAACCCCATGAGCAGAATTCCCAACCCTTGACTCCAATGTGGGGGTGAGTAAGCTGCATCTACTGGGGGACACACAGCCTACGACCTCTGGGGTCTCCCAGTTTGGTGGGATGATCTGATCACAGCCTCCCAGGAACTCTCAGGAGGGTGAGGAGCATGGAGGTCTCAGCAGTGTATCGTGGGGGGAAGAGGTGGTTTCGACCAGGGAATCGTGTAACAAAGCTGGGACACGCCCCCTCTACATGTCCTGTGTGCCCGATGAAGGCAGCCACGCTGGATCCCCCCTGGGATGGAAGAGGGTGTCTGTGATCTCCTTTAAAGACTCTCTTCATCAAGATCATTGAATGTGAACAGGACAGCAGGGGCCGGGGCAGAAGCTGGACCACCTGTTAGAGGATCTAGGCTGGTCTGTCTGTATTTCTCCCCCACAGAACCCTCAGCATGAAGACCCTCCTGCTGCTGGCAGTGATCATGGCCATCGGTAAGAGCTGAACCTGACCTCTGGCCATGAAGGGGACAGCCCATGGAGGGAGGCAGCCGCATCCCCCAGCTTCCCTTCCCACCGTGTCTGGCCCTCTCTCAGAAGTGGGGGCGGGGGGGTGGCAGGGAGAGGCGGAAGGAGGTGGTAGGGTCCCAGGCCCCATCACCAGCTGCTCTTCTTCCAGGCCTGCTGCAGGTCCATGGAAGTTTGCTGGATTTCCGGAAAATGATCAAGTTCACGACAGGAAAGTCAGCTCTGAGCAGTTATAGCCTCTATGGTTGCCACTGTGGTGTGGGTGGCAGAGGAACCCCCATGGATGCAACTGATTGGTGAGGCCAGCCCCAGCCCTCCCTGCCCTCTGCCCACTTGTGGCCCCAAAGCGGGCGGGAGCTGAAGCCTCCTGCTTTAGTCCCATCAGCATGGAACCCAGGAAGTCCCGGCCTAAAAAGCAGCCAGCTTGTTGGAAACTCTGCTGTAAACTATTCCAATGTCCCAGGGCCCAGGGGCTGAGAGCACAGGGCCCTAGGCTCCCAGGAGCCTGGGGAGGCAGCCCCGATAGCTCAGTCTTGTCACAGGTGTTGCAGGGCCCATGACTGTTGCTACGAAAACCTAAAAAAACGCGGATGCCGCACCACCTTCCAGAGCTACAACTTTATTTTCCAACGGGGCCAAATCGTTTGTGGTAAGAAAAGAGACCTACAACACCACCCATCCTCCCCTTTTCATTTTACTGAGTGTCCGCTGGGCCAGGTTCTGCGCAGGGCATCCGAGCTAGAAAAAGGGACCCTGTCCCTACCTCAAGGAGTTCATATTGGACTGAGCAGGAAAGAAAATCAAAATCTAACATGATAGTCTCAGAGGGGAAGTAAGAAAAAGGTCAGGGCTCTGAACACAGCCTGAGGGTCATGGAAGCCTGGAAGCTTCCTGAAAGTGGTGATCTCCAAGCTGAGTCCTCAGGGCTGAGAGGGGTCGGGGGGAAGGAGCATTGGGAGCATCCCCACAAGAAGATACACCAGGGACAACGGTCCAGAGGGAACTGCAACAACTCTGTGCTGCGGAAGGAAAAGGTGAGGATGAGACAGGGTGGTGAGTGATGATGCTGGAGAGACAGGAAGGGGCTAGGTCAAGTCTCCAGGCCATATTGTATTTAGATTATGTCCTAAAGAATTAGGGAGCTTTTAACAAAAGGAGAAGGAAATGGCAACCCACTCCAGTACCCTTGCCTGGAGAATCCCATGGACAGAGGAGCCTGGTAGGCTACAGTCCATGGGGTCGCAAAGAGTCGGACACAACTGAGCGACTTCACTTACTTACCTACGTAACAAAAGGAGTGGTACAATCGTACTTGCATTTCACACTTGCTCTGTCTGAGGGTAGATGCTGACAGACGAAACTGGGGAGCATTGTCATGATGCAGACGAGAGACAGGAAACCCTTGAGCTTTGGCAGTGGTGGGTCAGGATGCAAGGGGTGGAGAGCGCCATCGAGGTGCATTTGAGGTCAGATTGGTAGAGCTTGGTGGTGGACCAAGCTCTTATGGTGCCTGGGAGCTGCTGGGTTGGCTGTACCATTGTGTGGATGGTTCTACTGAGGAGGGCCTGGTAGGAGAGGGCAGGAGGCATTCCATGTGGAGCGTGTTGAGTTTGGAAGCTTCCAGAACACCCAGGGAGATGGGCAGCACGCTGCTTGTGAAAAAACTCGCAGCTCAAGGGACGGTCTGGACACAGATTCAGGAGGCGGCCGCAGAGAGAGGAGAGTTGGAGGTACCCACCCATTTGGTGTTTAAAGGCCGAGAAAGGAGACAGAGGAGGGACAGTCAGAGAAGGAAGGGAAGAGACAAGAAGGTCGAGAAGTTGGCCAGGAGGAGAGGATTAGCAGCAGCCAGTTCGATAGACGGGTCCTCCAGGATAAGGGCTGACCGGGCTCCTTGGGTTTAGAGGCAGAAAGAGCACTGAGGACCTCAGTGGGAGCTGTTCCCACGGATCTGTGAAGGCAAAGCCAGATTCGAGTGGGTTGGGAGGTGGGGGGAAGTGAAGAGAGATTGCGAGTGTAGACAATGTTCTGGAGCAAGTTTGGCCGTGGAGGGGAGGAGAGGGATGGGTGGTGGCTGGAAGGGACTGCCTAGTGCCCCAGACCTACTGACCCATGAGTGAGATTTTGAGAAACCACGGACTATTCCTCAACAGCCTGAGGTCTCCAAGATCAGAAAGCATGTCTTCCCATCATGACCTTCCACAAGGCTCTGTGGCTTTAGCAGGCCCTGGGTGACAAGCAGCAAGATGCCCAGCTAACAGAGGCTCAGAGAGGGAGAAGTCTGACTCTCCTGTGACAGAGTCTGGGAGAGGGCAGTGCCAGGGCGGGGACAACTTCTCAGCTGTGTTGCCAGGGATCCAGTCTTTTCCCAACCGTCTGCCCTGCCACATTGGCGATGTGATTCCAAGGCACAGTCTAGGGCTCCAAGAGTTATGGTTTCACCCTACGGAAGAGGTTTTCCCTTTGCACATCTTTCTCTTTGAGAGAGAAATTCATCCTTCCTGGAAGCCCCCAGCAGACCTTCCCTTGTGGCTCACTGGTCAGGGCAGGAGCACATGCTCCCCAGACACTAATCACTACAAAGGAAACAGGGGTGACCGCGACTGGCTTACACCTATCAAGACCCATTCCCAGGCCCCAGGAGCCAGGGGCTATGGACCTGGACACGTCTGCTGGGGAGAAGAAAGAGACAGTGTCTAATAGCAAGGCTTTTCACAGAATCCCAGTGCATGGCTGCTGGTGTCCCCGTGAGACGGGCTGTGGGCTTCCTGAGGGCAGGAATTCTGTCCCCCATCAGTCAGAAATACCTGGACATCGGTGCTCGTCCCAGACTAGAAACCCTGGGAGAACAGGAGCTGCCTTGTCCCCCAAGAACTTCCATAAAAATTCAAAGAATATTAATGAACATTTATTTATTGTGTTTCAGAGGATACGGATGATTGCAAGAGTCAGCTGTGTCAATGTGATAAAATAGCTGCCAGCTGCTTTGCAGCGAACCTGAAGACCTATGATAAAAAGTTCCGCTTCTACAACAGGTTTCGGTGCCAAGGGACGACCCCCCAGTGCTGAGGGCCCTCATCCTGGAAGCCTTTCCACCAAATGCTGTTTCCTTCCCTAGCACCCGACTCCCTACCCTAGCCATGTTCCTTGGCAAATGAAGGAAAACCCCTCTCCCACCCTAGAGACCAGCCAGGAGTCCTTCTCTCCCCAGACAGAAACCTTCCATCCAGAATGAGAAGCTCAGAGTCTGGGTGTGTATATTGGCCCCTTTCCTCTGCTTTTTTGGACAGCAAGATTTTCCCTCATTTTCCACTCTTCTGCACGTCCAGAGTCATACTTAACTGCAGCAGCTACAGCCCTGGTTGGCTCTGAATAAAGCAATTCACTTGGCAAACTATATGCATGTGTGTGTGTGTGTGTATGTACTCATGCACACCTGGGTGTAGGCATTCACACACTACCCCCAGGCCCTTCCAGTGTGAGAACAAACCAGTGCTTGTACAGTGGTACAAGTGTAAGGACTGGAAAATACAAACTTCAGCTTCAGACTGGCTGAGTCAAATCCCCACCGCCACCACTTCCCTCATCTAAGTAGAGATCACCCTGGTACTGAGTGCACAGGCTTGCTGGAGAAGTAAAAGGGATAACGGATAAAGCGCTGGGCCTGACATGTCTGTCCTTCTATCACAAGCAAAACCCAGCCTCCCACCTCCCCTACACTGGGTAAGGGCGACTCCTGCGGCCTGTTGGGGAAAAACGGAAGTGTTCTTCCTGATGTTTTGGGGATCTAAAGTACAAGCCTCCGGTGAGATATGTTCTTCTCCTATGTTGCCAGCCCAGAGGTGGGTCAGTGTAACACTGGCGTTTATCCCCTCACCCGGGCTGGCTTCCTGGGCTCGGGACCCAGGCAGAGGCCCAGTCACTGCGCCTAGCTTACTGCTCTGCTCCAGCCGTCTCAAACTGTTAACGACGTGGAACCCTGCATTTTATTCGGCACTGGGACCCACAGATTCAGTAGCAGGTCCTGCCCTCACCGCCTGCTTCTGCCTTTCTAACCAGGGTACCTCTTGGATAGTCTTACCTGGACCAGAAGTCTGTAATAATCATCACCAGGGCTGCTGGCTGTGCACGGTGGGGAAGGGCTCTAGGAAACAGAGTCCATGGCTTTTCGTTGGCTGAGTCCTTACCAGGAAGGATGAGGAGTCTTCCCTTCTTCCCACTGGGTCTTCTATCCTTACAGGATGTGATAACATTCCCCTTCTGGTCTCCTGACACTATTGGATTGAGGTTTCTGTTTATTCATTTATTACATAACTTAATTTTCGTATGCTTCCCTGGTGCCTCAGACTGTAAAGAAGCTTTCTGCAATGCAGAAGAACCGAGTTCAATCCCTGGGTTGGGAAGACCCCTTGGAGAAGGAAATGACTACCCACTCCAGTGTTCTTGCCTGGAGAATCCCATGAACAGAGGAGCCTCATGGGCTACAGTCCATGGGGTCGCAAAGAGTCAGATGTGACTGAGCACCTAATACTTTCACTTTGGATCTTCCCTGGTGCCTCAGATAGTAAAGAATCCGCCTTCAGTGCAAGAGACCTGGGTTCGATCCCTGTATTGGGAAGATCCCCTGGAGAAGGGAAAGGCTACCCACTCCAGTATTCTTACCTAGAGAATTCCATGGACAGAGGAGGCTGACGGGCTAGAGTTCATGGGGTTGCAAAGAGTTGGACGTGATTGAGCAACTAAGACTTCCTCTTGTAAATGTGTTTTTAAATTAGTTTCTTTAAAAAGCAGAGTAAAGAAAAAATTAGGAAACAGAGAGTATAGAAGAAGTTCAACCATGATCCTGATATTGGAAGCAACCACTGGTAATAGGCTGACACTTGTAATTATCAACAGCTGCAGAAAACTTTTCTGAGCACTGACTGTCCCGTGTGAGCAAGTCCAGCCCGTGTAAGACGGCAGCCATCTTCCCCGTGACACTCCCGCCACCCCCACCCATCACTGCTGCCTCATTCCCTCTTGCTTCATCACCACCTAATATCCCACAGCTGACTCCTTTTTTAAACTTTTTATTTCTATCGGTGTATAGCTGATTAATAAATAATGTTGTGAGAGTTTCAGATGAGCAGCCCTACATATACATGTATCCATTCTCCCCCCAAACAGCCTGCCACATAACAGTGAGCTGAGTTTCATGCGCTATAGAGGAGGTCCCTGTTGATTACCCACTCTAAATAGAGCAGTGTGTACCTGTCCATCCCAAACTCCCTAACTATCCCTGCCCTTCATCCATCCCCTGGCAACCATAAGCTCATTCTCAAAATCACAGTTGACTCTTAAACAACAGGGATTTGGATTCCATTTATACTAGGATTTTTTTTTCAATAAATAGGCACTACAGTATACATAATTCAAAGCTAGTTGAATTGACATAGATGGGGAATCGTTGACAGTTAGGCGCAAATTTATGGCTGTGTAGAGGGTCGGCGCCTCTAACCACGGTGTCTCTCAAGGATCAGCTGCGTATCATTCACCTAGTGTACCTTTTCTTTTATTGTCTGTCTCTCTCCACTAAAATGTAAGCCCCATGAGAGTAATTTTGTTTTTCACTAATGTACTCCAAGTGCTAAAATTAGTCCTTGGATGAAGGAGGCTGAACAAGAAAACAAACAACGAATTTTGAATTCTTAGGACAATCCTGAGAGATGGAAAAAGAGAGGCAGTCTGTGACGTCACCAGAGTCCTTGAGTGCTGGGACCTGGATAAGATACCAGGGCCACCAGGATACATGGGGGTGGGGCAGTTTGCCTACCGTAGAAACAATAGCATTCCAAAATTGAGTTGCTTAATAAAAGGCAAAGGTCTAGCCCATCACCTCTGAACTTCATTTAGGCCTAAAACAAATGGCCATGAGAGCAAAAATGTTGATGGAAAAAATGCAGGACCTAAAGGTTGAGAATTATGCTTTATTTGGTGCTTTACTGAGGACTTCAGCCTGGATACAGTCTCTCAGGTAGGTCTGAAGACTGTCTTCAGGGGTAAGGGAGGAGCCAAGATATATAGGAATTTTTGCAAAAAAGGCAAACAAAAAACAACCCCCCAAAATAGCCCAGGTAGTTAACATCAAAAGATATCTGCCAACTAAAGGAAAACCAGGTATCTCAAGCTAATGAATTTGGTACTTTTCTATGTATTAAAAGAGGCAAGAATCTGGGCTTCATGCAGTCATTCCTGTGATATGCACCTTACCTACCTAGGGCCTGCATCCTGTTTTCCTCTGACCCAAACCCCCTCCAGGCGCACTGTCAGGGGTGGCTGCTGGCTTAATGGTCACACCATCTTCTCCTTACTGAGATGGCAGGAGCCATTCTTTGTCTTCAAACCCCAAATTGCAAGGACCCACACAGATCCCTGGAGGGTTCCTAGGAATTTGTGCCAGGTACCACAACCTGAGTAGCTTAAGCAATAGAAATTTCTGGGCTCTCATTTTGGAGACCTGAACTCTAAGAACAAGGAGCCAGTGAGGTTGGTTCCTTCTGAGGTCTGTGGGGAGGGTCTGCTCCTTCCTCTCCACAGGCTCTGCTGGTGACCAGGACATCTTTAGGGCTCCTTGGTGTATAGAAGCGTCCCCACCGCAATCTCTGCCTTCACTTTCACATGGGGTGCTCCCAGTGAGGATGTGTGTCTTTGTCGAAACGTCTGCTGCTTCTAAAGACACCAGCCATCCTGCATTAGGCCCACCCTAATAACCTTATCCTAACTCATCACCTCCACAAAGACTTTGTTCCCAAAGACATCCTGAGGTCTTAACGAACATCAGGATTCAATGTAGGGATTTGGTGGGGACAAATTTGGCGATCAACACTTCACACTGGTCTAACTCTTCAAGGTCTAGTATCTTCAAGACGAATGTTGCCTGAAATGGTTGAGTCAGTACAGACAGGTTCAGTTCAGTTGCTCAGTCGTGCCCGACTCTGCCACCCCATGAACTGCAGGAGGCCAGGCCTCCCTATCCATCACCAACTCCCAGAGTTTACTCAAACTCATGCCCATTGAGTCAGTGATGCCATCTAACCATCTTATCCTCTGTTGTCCCCTTCTCTTCCTGTCTTCCATCTTTCCCAGCATCAGGGTCTTTTCCAGTGAGTCAGTTCTTCGCATCAGGTGGCCAAACTATTGGAGCATCAGCTTCAACATCAGTCCTTCCAATGAATATTCAGCACTGAAGGTGGCAAGAATACACAGAAGAACTGTACAAAAAAGATCTTCATGACCCAGATAATCACAATGGCATGATGACTCACCTAGAGCCAGATATCCTGGAATGTGAAGTCAAGTGGGCCTTAGGAAGGATCAGTACGAACAAAGCTAGTGGAGGTGATGGAATTCCAGTTGAGCTATTTCATATCCTAAAAGATGATGCTGTGAAAGTGCTGCACTCAAGATGCCAGCAAATTTGGAAAACTCAGAAGTGGCCACGGGACTGGAAATGGTCAGTTTTCATTCCAATCCCAAAGACAGGCAATGCCAAAGAATGTTCAAACTATCGCACAACTGCACTCATCTCACATGCTAGCAAAGTAATGCTCAAAATTCTCCAAGCCAGGTTTCAACAGTATGTGAACCGTAAACATCCAGATGTTCAAGCTGCATTTAGAAAAGGCAGAGGAACCAGAGATCAAACTGCAAACATCTGCTGGATCATTGAAAAAGCAAGGGAGTTCCAGAAAAACATCTATTTCTGCTGCATATGACTATTCCAAAGCCTTTGACTTTTGGATCACAACAAACTGTGGAAAATTTTTCAAGAGATGGGAATACCAGACCATCTGACCTGCCTCCTGAGAAATTTGTATGTAGGTCAAGAAGCAACAGTTAGAATTGCACATGGAACAACAGACTGGTTCCAAATTGGGAAAGGAGTACGTCAAGGCTGTATATTGTCACCCTACTTCTTTAACTTATATGCAGAATACATCATGAGAAACACTAGGATGGATGAAACACAAACTGGAATCAAGATTGCCGGGAGAAATATCAATAACCTCAGATATGCAGAGGACACCACCCTTATGGCAGAAAGTGAAGAAGAACTAAAGAGCCTCTTGATGAAAGTAAAAGAGGAGACTGAAAATGTTGGCTTAAAGCTCAAGATTCAGAAAACGAAGATCATGGCAGCTGGCCCCGTAACTTATTGGCAAATAGATGGGGAAACAATGGAAACAGTGACAGACTTTATTTTGGGGAGCTCCAAAATCACTGCACTTGGTGACCACAGCCATGAAATTAAAAGAGATTTGCTCCTTGGAAGAAAAGTTATGACCAACCTAGACAGCATATTAAAAAGCAGAGACATTTCTTTACCAAAAAAGGTCCATCTAGTCAAGGCTATGA